CCCCAAAACCCCAAAACCCCAAAACCCCAAAACCCCAAAACCCCGGGTATTTAGAGAAAGATTGAGGGGCTTTTATATCCAGATTTTTATAGGAGAGAATGGGAAAGAGGGTTTGAAAGGTGTCACAAATCAGGTTTTGAAAATTTGGAGATTTTAGGGGTAGAATTATGGAGAGGAATTAATAATCTTCTGGTCTGAAAACAGCCTGTGCAGTGTCTTGGTTAATACCGCAGACTCCCTTTCCTGATCTTCTCTTAATTCTTACGAATCCGTTCTCTCCCCAGTGTTCTCCCCAAGAGTTCTTGACAATCCAACTATCGGTTTCTTTTTCATATCCGACAAGAGTGACAGCATGGTCCATTTCAGTTCCGCAGGCTTCACCATCAATGACTCCACCTCTGTAGCTTCTGAATTCAGGATTTTCAGCCCTGATTGCAACAGCAACAACGTTATGAGTCAAAGCTTCATATAGAGAGTCTTCATCATCTTCAACTCTGTAAGCATATGGAACAGTTGGATGATCAATTTCGAATTCTTCTTCTCTACATTCAGACTTGAAATAAGTATATGGATAATCTTTCTCAAGAATTGGTCCTCTTTGGGTGAAGAAAAGGATACCATTGATGGCCCATCCTCCATGACATCCCCCTGAGAACTTATCACAAGTGTTCAAGTGAGCTTCTGAGAATCTCTTGAGTTCTCCATGTTCCTTAGCGTAAGCACCTTCAACAGAAGCAACTGCAGCGAAAGCCCAGCATGATCCACAAGCTCCTTGATCCTTGATTGGGTTGACATATCCATTAGAAACATGGTCAATACTCTGAAGATCTTTTACACCCTTGGACTTAATAGTTCTGAGGTTAGAGCTCTGGAGGTTGTGGCTCCTTCTGTATCCAAGAATTGCTTTGTACTCTTCATCAGTCTAGTCAGAGAACTTGTTAACTCCAAGAGTCCAAGAGAGTCCTTTGGCATTATGAGCATTGATGGTCTCCAAATTCTTGTTAAAAATAGATCTTCTATAGTTATATTCTTCTTCAGTTTGGTAGCTCTTATCAAATTGAATCAGGAAGCTAGTAAACTGGGCTTCAAGTTGATCGTCAGAGCTTTGATAAAGGCCAACGATTGCCAATGAGACAAGTCCCAAAGTAATCAGAACAGATGTTGTTTGCATTATATATTATACCTCTTGTCTATTCTATTCCTTAATATACTCGAGGGGTTTTGGGGTTTTGGGGTTTTGGGG